TATGATATTTTCAACTGTATTAGTATGAATAAATCAAGTAAATGTGTGAAGAGGAATATAATCACATGAAACACGCTTGTTGAGAAACTACCCATTGGTAGCACTCTAATAATTTGTTTACATGAGAAGATCACGAGGCCATCTTCTTTTCAGACGTCTTGGAGGGTTATCAGGAATCGAAGAGGAAGCAAGGTTAGAAACAAGAGGATTCGGATGGTTATGAAGTTTATTATGGAAGAATAGATATCTGGATTTGGCCAAATCGGAAACATATGGAACATTGAGGTCTTTATAGATTATTTTTTGTGATAAAGTAAGGAACATTGAGGATTTTTTATTGTAAAGATTGGATACGAGAGGAATTTGATGGTTTAGTGGAGCCCCATAGCTCAACTCCGTTAGCCCAAATAGGTCTTATTATAGTCATGTATATGAGTCGTAGGTAATTGATTGGAAGTTTAGGGCGTTTGTACAGTAAGTGTTGGAGTAAGTGGAAACGTCGAGCAGTTTCTTGACGTTTCAGTCTTGTATAAGGATTCCAAGTGAGACGTTTGTCCAGCTGGAGTCCAAGGTATCGGATTTGTTCTACAGGGATAAATGGGGTGTTATTAAAGGATACCATAGGACAGCAAGTCATTGGTTTACAACGAATGGTAAAGGTTATTTGATGGGATTTATTGGAATTTATTTTAATCCTCCAGTTTTGACACCATTCTTCAAGGTTTGTGATGTGTGATTGAAGAATTTGGGATGCAATTGTTGGATCATTATTAACTGACAGGATACATGTGTCATCAGCATACGTAGTGATGACAGTGTTAGGATGGGTTGGGATATCAGCTGTATAAACTGTGTAAAGGATAGGACCAAGGATACTACCTTGAGGAAGGTTTTAGATTTAAAAATAAAAATATCAACCAGGTTCTCTTATTACTCATTTTAGAAGCAGGAAAGACTTTGAATAATTTTAAATTGATATCTGGGCTAATATCCGACATCTCCATCTTAATCCCCTTCAATTTGTTTATGATAAGTAGAGACCGGATTCGAATATCTATCCGTTTCAGGACCTGTAGAATAACATATTTAGATTTTATATTGCACGTTTTGATGTTTTTTTGCTTAAATCGCACGATTTTGACTTTTGTTGCATTAAATTGCACATTTTTGCTAAATTAGATGATTTATAAATATAAATGGGTAAGTGAGTATGTTAATATTTATTTTACTAGTTTCTTATTATTACTTTTTATTTTACTATATTGTTCAAATTAAATTCAGTATTAAAAATAGAAAAATATGAGGAAGGCAAATAATTCTGTGTGAAGCAATAATCGTATCCATAACAAAAGGAAGAAGTAAACACAATTGAGATCTATTCTTGGAATAGAACTTGCCTAAAGTATTGGATAATAAAAAGCTGCTTTGTTTAGAAAGACATTTATAGTTATTGTTTTGGCCTGAATCCTCACTCACCGTTCAACCCTTCGGTATCTCTTCTGGCTTTAAATTGATTTGTACAAATTTCATTATAAAAAAAAAATTGATAACACTGAAAATAAAATCTAGTCTCTCGTCAAAAATTAAACTCTGGATATAAAAATCCCTGATTTGAAATTTGAGGACAAAGAATGAAAAATCAACCAGGTGATAGGAAATCACTGATAGAAACTCATTGTGGAACATGAAAGAAAAAAAATATTCCTATCAAAGAATTAATTTTTTTTGGGGGCTTTTGAGGAGTTTGAGAATATAATCCCCAAAAATATTTTTTGTAGTGATATCGACAAACAGCTTCAACACTAATATTAGAACACTTGAAAATTTCAAACATTACAGTCTATTTCAATATTTTTTTAAAATTTTAACAAAAGCGTTTTGGAATGTATAATATTGGAAATTTCAACCCTATTAAAATATAAAATTTTCATTATTATTTTTAATAAAAGTTAAATATCTAAAATTGGTCTGGTCTATATAATACATAGGTACCTATAATCCCTGCCTTCATTTATTCCTTCAAACCTTCTATGTTCTGCATTATTTGATAATAATCGTTATTATAATTGTTTATAATCTGGAATTTCATTGTTTTTTTTCTATAAAGCCCTCAGTTAACTGATGTATTAATATTATAAATTAAATAATACAATGATTATTTTACACATTTAGGTGTTAATTACACAATTTTACATATTTTGGATTTTTACTGCACATTTTCCAAATTTTTACTGCATAAAAGTCCGGTCTCTAGTGATAAGCATTCCAAAAGAAAATACTAAACTGATTCAAGAAAACAGACATGTAAATCTGACATCGAACTTGGATTAAAAACTATTTAATAATATTCTGAAAAGAAAACCTTGTTGATAGAATTCAAGAAAGAAAATATCGTACTACTAAAGAGAAAAAAAATTAGAAAACGATTCATTGAATTAATAGTAACAGAAAATATTTCTTTGATTTTTTTGTCAGTGCTTTGTTTAAGAAGATTTAAATAAATTTCTTATATTCTGTTTAACAAAATATACAAAAAATAATCTATATCTTAATTTTTTAAATCTAATCTTTTACCATTAAGAGAAAACAACAAAGACATAATATGTATGCACATTATATATATATATATACCTGTGTGTGTGTGTGTGTGTGTACATATGTGTATAAACTTAATTAAATTGACATTGATATAAACATTAAATGGTTTTTATATTGTTAAAATATTCATGTGTGTCCATTGTTAGAAAATTAGTCTCAAACTCTCTAAAGTTTTATGTGAAAAGTAAAGAAGTGTTTATAACCAACTGAGTACTCTTATTATTTTAAGAACCTATGTTCCATTTATAATGGATAGTTATATTTTGAACTTTAACATAACAATAACTTGTTACTGACTGTTGAAAAATATTGCACTACTATACCTTTTGCCACTGAAGAGTCAAAAAACATTCAAGTGTAACTTCCTTTCTTATCAGTCACAAAATTAACACGAGAGAAAAATAATTTTCAAAGTTCTTTTTTTCGAAAATAATAAGATCACTGTTTGAACACCAGGCCAACCGAAAACAATATAAATATTTGTACCTTCCCAACGGTCCCGCGCCTGCAGTCAGTGTTGCTCATTCGTTATTCTAAGTTTTAAAATAATTATGAAAAAAATCACAATGTAAGATGTTATTTGTTTTAAGTTTATCTTTAATTAGAAATTTTCAATAATTAAATTGAAATTATTTTTTCAAATAGTTAGAATGTCTAGGAAAGAGGAATCAACAACAAAAAAATGAAATCTGAATTGAGTGAGATTGTGAAGAGTTTTGAGATATTTAACCCTACTTTTAACGAATATAAATAAGAAATTTAATTATAAATATAAATTTTACGTAAAATGGTAATAACCTCTATTGATAGATGCACCAATAAAAATAAATAAATAAATAAGAAATGAAATTATTCTACCCCCCCCCTTTTGTTGGTGGCGGACACATGAAACTTTGTGGAGTATAAACTCTTAGATCTTCTTTGGTTTTTATCTCTCATTCCTCCCTATTTATTTTTTATTATTTAAATCGGTTTAAACAATAAGTCTTAAGTTTTTTTTAAGTGAAAACTTCTTTAGACGCGTTATACACTTTTCTTATGGAGAGTATATGTAATCTTATGCAATCTTATATGTAATGATACAATTATCTACAGAGACAAATTTTAAATTAAAACTTAATCGAACCTATTTTATTTAAGACACAGCAACAATTTTTGTATTGGGCTTTGCACCCAAAGTAATAAATGTGTGGACACACTTCATATTTTAAATATTTAACACAAGTACCCAACACCTGTTTCACATTTCTGCCTATGATCCTATCATATTCAATAATTTTAAATAAATATGATACAAGTAACATGACATATACTACATAAATAGAAACAACCCATTAGTAGCATTCCAATTATATTTCTTTATTAGAAGGTCCCGAGGCCATCTTATTTTCAGATGCCTCGGAGGGTTATTAGGAATAGAAGAGGAAGCAAGGTTGGAAACAAGAGCGTTAGGATGGTTCAGAAATTTATTATGGAAGGATATGTATCTAGATTGAGCTAAATCGGAAACATGTGGTACACTAAGGTCGGTATGGATGATTTTATTTGTGACAAAGTAGGGAGCATTGAGGATTTTGGATTGTAAGGATTTGATACGAGAGGAATTTGATGGTTTAGTGGAGCCCCAAAGCTCGATTCCGTAAGTCCAAATAGGCCTTATTACAGTAATATATATGAGTCTTTTGTAAATAGTTGGAAGTTTAGAGCGTGTGTCTAAAAACTGCTGTAGTAGTCGAAAACGTTGGGCTGTTTCTAGTCGTTTCAATCTGGTATGAGGGTTCCAAGTAAGTCGTTTGTTCAGATAACGTCCTAGGTATCGGATTTGTTCAACAGGGATAAATGGGGTATTGTTAAAGGATACTGTAGGATAGAAAGTCATAGGCTTACCAAGATGAGAAAAGATAATTTGATGGGATTTATTGGAATTGATTTTAATTCTCTAGTTTTGATACTATTTTTCAAGATTTGTGATGTGTTATTGAAGAGTTTAGGATACAATAGATGGATCGTTGGCTTATCAAGTTAAAAATGGATCAAGTGTAATGTTTACCATTACACGATTTATTTGATCAAGTGATATAGTATTCAATAGTATCCTTGAAACTCTTTTTTTGAATAGCCAACGAACCAGCTTCTTATGTTTTCAGCTTATATTTTCCACATGTTTATGTTCTGTATAAGTTTTATGATGTTAATTGCACTTATTTATAAATTGTGTGAGTGCATTCATTGCAGCTTCAACCCATTACCATACCAAAAGTGGTTCTTGAAGTTCTAAGTTGAATTTATCATCATTTGAATACAACTAATTAAGGTAATTAATAATTATACAATGCAATAAGTTCAAAATTCTGTTTATTTGATTATCATTAGTGTAATTACATTGTTATTTTGAGGTGGATTCAAATCTTGATGCAAGTCTTCGCTTCTGGCTTGGATGCTGAAAAACAACATTAATATTAATACCATGCCTAAACTACATTAAGATTGATGATAACACAGAATATGATAATACGTACAAGCGATAGCATTGCTGATCCATTCGTAGTAATGAGGAACATGAGTGTTGACGGAAGGTGAAGGGCTGTTTCCACAATCGGAGACTCCATAAGAGACCAAAGCGACTTGGGTATATCTGTTCGTCTCTTGGTCCAAGTAGACCAAAGGACCGCCGGAGTCACCCTGTTGGAAATATAAAGAAATAATATAGATTAATAAATTATTAAAGACGCTTACTACCTCTTAGCACTAGAATCGAAGTACAGAACTAAATAATAAAATACATTTAAAACTCATCAGTTGAAATTGAATTACAAAAACTTTCGAGTATTTTAATCGTGAAATTATAAACTGTCAGATGTATATAAGAGTTTAAGAAACACAAATATAGGTTTCTTATCTTCTTCTTTAAGAATAATGAAACTCCGAAAAATACGTGTAATCTCAATTAGGAGTTTACAATGCAACAAACCAGTTCTGACGTACAGTTGACCGAGCCACTAATTAGGACAAGAGCTTATAAAAAATTTCTAAAAGAAACTATTCAATCTATATCTTATTAGCTTGAAGAAACGCATCAGAAAGTAAACAAGTTAAAATTCGGCACAAAACGATGGTATAATATTAAAACAGTTTGGAATAAACTGATACTAGCTTTTTCATCTTCTAAAATGTCAAAGGAACTAAAGATTACATTTAAAATATCTTATCCATTAACTTACATTGCAGGAATCTTTCCTGTCCTCGTGGGCACAGAGCTGAGACCCAGACATGTCTATGTTAGACCAGGACTGTTTGCACTTGTCGAGAGGGATCACTTTGAGATCAACTTCTCGAAGGAAATTCTCTTCGGCCGTGCCCTTGGTAGTTCCCCAACCTGGAAAAACGAAAATAATTTATTAGATAGTCAACATTTCTTCATATTTCAACCTGGATAACAAAACATACCCATGACTTTGATGTATTCTCCGTCCAAATTGGACTTTTCCTTCCACAAGCACACCGGGCCTACCTCTTGGTTGAAACTTATTGGAGTGCTGGTCACTAGGATGGCGATGTCATTGAGGATCTGCTTATCGTCGTAGGATTCGTGCTCGATGATCTTTGAGATTTTATATTGCACCGCATGCTTGTCCTCGTCTGTAAGAAAAAACAGCAATCATCATAAAATTAACTTTTGGAAATAGTGAGCGGGCGTTGGCAAGCACAATAAGAGAAAATATATATGGAAGGAAACAATAACCAGTTAGATATTTGAAAGGATCCAAAAGAAAATAAACTGAATTATATTTTTTCCTAACGTGAAATGGGAACCTTCTTTAAAAAGAAGACAACGGAAAAATGGAGGAAGAAACATAAGAGAGAAAAAGGGTTTTCGAGGCTAAAGAAGGCGGAATTCCGAGATGTACATGCGATTTATAAAATTCTTATAACAGCATCAAGAAGTTTGAAATGAACATGTAACTAAATAAAAATGATTAAAAAAATGTTTTCTCTTTAAATTATTCCCTACAGACAATGCAAACATATACAGTAAAAAAAAAAATGTGTTCAATTGCATTATTCGGTCTATCCTTATAAATCATTAGCGGATTCAGGATTTAATTTTGAGGGGGCTTCAGCCTGAAAGCTTTTTGTTTTCAAAGGACGATAATTAGTTTGGAAAAAAAGAAAGACACTGACTACCTATATGAAATGGTGTTTAAGTGATACTTAAAGTCTTTTTAAGTGTAATTGCAGGAACAATAATACTTGAAGCTATCATTTTTTCCATAAGACATGGTTATATTTTACCATTTTGGAAGGAGGGGGAGCTCTCCCTTAGATCCGTCTACAAATTAAGGTTCCCTTTGACATGTCTAAATTATAACATTAAGAACCTAGTTGTAATTATCGATATTCAGAATTATCGAACTATCGCTAAACTTACTACAAAGGTTCAGTGGAATGAAAAATGTAGAAATGATCGTAGTTCGTACTTACGCATGGAATGACGTCCTACGGAAACGGTGATCTTCTCCGGTGAGCTGCCGGCGGTGCAGTGTGCCGCGGTGAGGATGTGCCACGGAGAGATGATGGATCCGCCGCAGCCAGTGCTCAGCGACACCATCCAAGGGTACTCGTTCTTCCGGGTCTCCTTTCCGCCGACGATCCTGCCCTGGAATGGAACACACCTTACAAAACTGCTAAATTGAATCTATCGCATGTTCGTATCATTGCGTGTCTACTCACAGAGTTTCTCCATCCGCAGTTACAGCTGAGATCACGGGATCTCTTTTCGTGGATGTCTTTGTAGTTGTACCCCAAGGAGAGGCCCACTATCGCCGCAAACACCAGAAATAGTTTCATCGCTGTAATATGGATTTTTCATTAGACTATGCATATTCTTCCATACTTCTTTAACATTTAATAATCAAGGATTGATAGGGATCTGTAGTTTTGAATTACTAGTTTGAATATTCTAGTTCTAAGTCTATCCTATGAATGCTTTAGATATTTGTTATCAACACCGTCCCTCTTCTCTCCTCCTCAAAAAAATAATAAAACAAAATTTGGAAAATACCATCTAAAGAGAATATATCTATTTAAATATTTAAACTTCGGGCAGTAGTCGCGAGACTTCCACAATCACACGAAACTAAAGGAATGTAATTTTGAAGGAAGTTAGTCGACTGTTCTACATAGCATAGGCCATAAATAGTTAAAACGCAGTCATTTTTAAGGTTTTTATTGGTGCCGACGTTTCATTCAGCAGCATCGAGAATACACGTATCGAAATCCACCATATCAGAGATATGAACACACATCAAGGAACGTCTCACTCTGGCCCATCTCAAACTCTATTCGCCACTTTTTTCAACTCATTCTGCTCTCCCGCCAGATACTTCAAACACTAGAACAGAGCCCTGTGGATGACCCGCATGCTTGGGTTGAAACGTCGGCACCAATAACAATCTTTAAAATGGCTACGTTCTGACTATTTATCACCTATAAAGGATGAAAACTAAATTTCTTCCCAGGCACTGTTATGTAAGCAGAAATCTATTTGCCAGATAGATTTCTTGTGTAGTGAAAGTCACATTATTTCAAGGGATATCAACGAATAATTTGAGCTATCGAACTTAAAAATCGGATCAGTTATGCACATAAAACATCGTTACATACCTTTTAGCGCATTGATTATACAATAAAATGTTCATTTTTTGAGTTTTAAAAACACTCAGGGGAGCTCTCAGAATAATTTAAGCAACCAAACTTGAATATCGGTCCAGCTCAAAACATCGTTACATATCTTTTAGCATGCAAACCAAACAAATATCACTTATTTGTAACTTTACCATATTCCGGTAAAATATGGAATCAATTCTCTTGCAACTTAATAAATCAAGTATATTGTCCAATACAGTAGTAAAGATATTTTTTCCAGTTCTTAGGGAGGATAGGTTTTTATAATCGAGGTGTTGAAGAGAGGCTATTCGGCTACAATGGCTAATAGCGTAAATAATCCTGCAACCCTTGATCTAAGGGTTGTAAGAAAATGAAAGAACTAATAATACAAAATGGAGGATTTGAATAACGGAGGGGAGGAGGTTCTTCATTTCAGGTGAGAAATAAGACGAGTAATTCAAAGCTAAACGCTCGTGAAATCTGCAACATCCAGCATTAACGACCCGATCTTTGGACTTTTCTCTTTCAAAGAAAACGAGTGTTTAAAAAGAGATTTTTTGTTATATACTGATATACCTATTAATATGTTTAGTTAGCATTATTATTGAAGTATTATGGTTAAAAGGATGAGTGAAGGAAGGTGAAGTTGTCAGAATGTATGATCGGTTTGAACTATACTGCGGAAAGAACAATTTCAATAAAAGGCATTGAGAAAAGTAGGTTTTAAAAAATCTAAGTCGGCAAATCGAAACTGAGATTCCTTAGAAAATCTTGGATACTACAAAGATTGTTTTTTAATAAAAAGAATCAAGTATGTTTATATGTTATATTTTATACAAGAGTTATTTATATTTTATAATATTCTTATTTAATTTATTTTAACTGATATATTCATTTGTCTAACAGAGAAGTGAATAAATAATAACAGACAGCCACATTTTATGGCAATTTTTATTTCAATAAACTTGTAAACAACACTATGTAACATACGATACGATAGCTAACTAAAAACATTCTCCAAAGAGCTACATTTTCCAAAGAGCTACAAGGAATTTTTTCAAACAAGAAAAGTCAAAGATTTACTGCATTTATAGTGGATTAACTTTAAAGTATCGGTCTCAGCGAATGCAATACTGGATTAATATAAGTTAACTGACATCTGAGTCTTATTGATTAACTGTTAAACTAATGGTATATTTTACAGTGTGACAAGCTATTAGTTATTAAGTAAAATATTAATTAAACATTGCCATTATAAAGTATTTAACTTTACCAATTGTATTTTTTAACATATTTTCTAAGTAATAATATATTGATTAGATGACAAAAATATGTATTAATAACATATACATAGAAGAGGATAAGGTTAGTACTACTTACCGTACTGAGAGAAGAACTGGAAGTCCAATGATTAAGGAGTTCTTCCCCTGGCTTATATAGTCCCGATGGTTATTTGATTATTAGTAGGCAATCAGTGATTGCTTGTTCCTGGAATATTTGTCCAGTTGGTAACTGGCATACTTATCCAGCTCCAGGGTCGAGTATAGTTTACACTGGAAGGTCTCTAGGAACTTCATAGTGTTATGGTCCTAAAATTATTCAAAATAAATGTTGATTATTTTTATATTTATTTGGTAGTACTACAATAAAAATAATTTAAAAGTTATTTAATTTAAGACTTACAAAGTAGTGAGTATAGTCAAAGGAAGCTAAAATTACACATTTAAGATAGGTATAAAACTAGAATGTCGCAGCATCATTTTGTCAAAGTAGACTTCACTGAAATGGTATTTTATATTATCGACTTCATATATTTTTAAAATTCTTATGAAAACTGAAAAAAAAAATTGTGATTACGAAAAAATTTTCTGATTAAGAAGAAAATATGATACTAAAGCAGGTTAAAAACAAATTTCTGGAAATAAAATTAGTATTATAGATACAGGGTCTACAAGCCTTTTAATCCGCGGGCCACATTGAGATCTCCACGTAAGTTCTCCAAACAATGGCAAGCGATGAAAAATAAACCTTGTTCTATAAATAACAACCTGTGAAATGAGCTTTCTAAGAGGAAATATCTGGTGTGTCCACTCACACGACTTTCCTACCTAGACAGACAGACAGACCAATAGCTAAAAATGTGTTTTTCGTACTCAGGGGACTCAGAAACGTACAGATCCGTCGAAAACCGGATATAGGAAATTTGACCCGTTTGCAATACACTCCTTACCTAGTATAGGTAGGAAAGTAATAAGTTAGAAAATGTGTAAAAAATAGAATAAGCTGTATCATCACTAATACTGGTTCGATTTCGATGATTTTTTTTTGTTTTGTTTTGTTGTTAATTTAATTACCTTTCAAAAGATTTATTATAAATTTTACCGTATAATTTATACTTAGAGAGCTAGGCCCCATACATTTTTCTTTTCTATATAACTTTTTTTCCTGAATTTTTTCGGCAATTTAGTCCATATACGAAAATTAAAAGGACAATGATTAGAATATTATAGAAAATTTTCATCAAAATCGTTAGAGGCGTTTTCGCGCTACAGTCTATAGGAAAACATGTTTTTCATTTATTGCCTAAGGAACGCAAGCTATTGCGCAGGGAGCACCGAATTTCTGTCACAGGCATCAGTAGTCAAAACCCTACAAAATAAAAAAAGAAGCAACAAAATCGGTTCCGTAATCTAAAATTGTAGGTACGTTTAAGTCTTTATGTAGGGTGTCATTTGCTACATAAAACGGTGCGTCAACTATCCTTCGCAACACTTTTGACTGAAAGGACTGACTTTTAATGTTAGAAGTTTTAGCAGAACCCCACAGTTCTATGCCGTAAGTCCAAATAGGTTTAAGTAAGACTTTGTAAAGGGTTAGTTCGTTAGTTAAAGATAATTTTGAACGTCTGTCAAGTAATCTGGATAAAATACCGTATCGTCTGTTTAATTCTATTCGTTTTTGTCTGATGTGAGTCCTCCAAGTAAGCCTTTTGTTCAGGTAAAAATCTAAATACCTAATTACGTCTGATGTTAGAATTTTAATGTTATTAAAATGAATTTCAGGTGAAGGTTTATGGTTAAGAGTGAATACCACATGCACACTTTTTTTTCATTCATCTTAATTTTCCACCTTGTGGCCCAATCTGCAATATCGTTCAGATGATTTTGAAGAGTGGTAGGTGCTCGAACAGGATTTTTATCTGAACTTAGGATTGCGGCATCGTCTGCAAAAGTAACCAGTATTGTGTCATTGTGTTCCGGTAGGTCAGATATATATATATTAAATAATATTGGTCCAAGGACACTACCCTGAGGTACTCTTGCTTTAATAGGTTTGATGTCAGACCGTTCTGTATCTACTTTTACTACAATATGTATATCTGTCAGATATGAAAGTAATATTAGATAGTAGGTCGGAGGAAGTAAAATTTTAATGAAATAAGGGAAAATGAGTGAGGAAAGTAGGAGCTGACGGATTTTAAGGAGCACGGAATCAAAGAAACTGTTTGAGGGTAGCAATGGATTTTCGGATTATTTGGGAAATATAATTATTCCTTATATGTATAATGTATAATCAAAGACTTTGAGATTAAGAAGGGGTTTGATAAATAAATAATAATATATAGATCAAATAAAAAAAACGTTCATTTTATTTATCTCAATAGAGAGGAAACCCATCATACTATTATGTCCGAGCTCAACTATTTGCGGTTAAAAAATTTATGTATTTTTTACAATAAAAGGATTCAATAAAGGACTAACCTGTGTATTAACTATTATTAAGATTAAAGATAATCAGATAAACAGTGTTGGAAATGATTACACTATTAATATTAATGATCTTAAAGCCATGAATAATTAAAATAGGATAATAGGTTATTAGGAACTTTCTAATTCTGATTCATATATTGAAGGAAATATTGAACAGCAGTTGCATTGTTATTAAGATAACGTCTATTGTTTTTTTTCTGTTTTTTATTTGATTGAGAGAAAAGAGTGAGTTAAGTAGGTTAACGTTTTAAAAATCTCTAGCTCTGGGGTCTCGCCCAGCTCCCCCGACGTTTCTGATTAAATCTATAAAAATATAAAATACTTATCTAATTAGATTAGCATTCTTAAATCAAAATCCCTACTACTATTTACATCAACTAATCTTTTCATTTGGTTTTATATTATCTCCATTTTTCCTCTCAATTCTTAGTTTAAACTTACATTTGCCTTCAACATATTATTCCTGATCCATTTCTGAACTTTTCTTACTTCATTATCTCTCCTTAAGCGTTTGATAGTACATGAACGGGTTTTCAATAATTATTTATGTTAATTGTATTGATTTAAGCTACATATTTATATATTTGTACTTAGGTATTCAATTAATTACATGTATGTGGATACAATGGTTTAAAATTTTTCAAATGTCATAGGAGAAAGGTGGTTAAATATTATAACGAATTATTTGTTTTTAATTCCCCATGCATTATTATGTTTGTAATAATTTTTAATGCATTCCATTGTAAGAGAGTCCCCTTTCCAAAAAAATTAAAAATACTTATATGGAAACTTCAAAATTATTATTGATGAGAAACATTTTAATCAAGAATAAAAAAAAATTTAAAAATAAATTGTAGAACAAATGTACTTCAATGAAATATATTCGATAATGAAAAAAAATTTGTAAAGCAAACAACACTGTGGATGATTCGCATGTTAGATCAAGTCAACAGAAATCAGCTTGGAGAATTGGTTACCACCGCGAAGGTGACAAAGGTAACAGCTCTTCGTCAAATTTTTATTATTTGTTTGAAGATTTCTTGATCTATTATTAAGATTTGCCTGTAATTTTTCAGGCAAAAGATCGCCAATATGTCTTGCAGAAAAGCTGCCCATGCTGGAAGTTGGTATTCAGATTCAAGTGAGTTGTTCTTTTGTATTAAATTTTACTTTGTTTACAGTATACACATAGGCTCTTAAATGTTAGGTTTGTTGTTTTAGTATTTTTATATTATTATTTAAATTAAATATATGCTTTGATGTTAATACTATGAAGTTGTTTAACAATATTTTGGATTTTGATTCTTTTTTATTGGATTATTTAAGGTAGTTATTAATAATAGTTGATATTATTTTTTGTATTTAAACTGTCATTTGTATTGTATTAGTTCAAAATTCTTACTGCAGATACTCAGCTTTGTCATGTTTGGTACTTTCTCAATGTCTAGGATTTTAATATTTGAATTACTCAAGAATTTCTTTACTCTATAGGTACAGAGCTAAGCAGACAATTAGATAATTGGTTAAATGCTGCGGAACTTATACACGGTCCTGCAAGAGCAATCATTGCTCCGTAAGTACCTTACTTTGTGCCAACACTGTTTAAAAAGTACAAAATATATGAACTCTTTGTTTTTCTCTAGGCATGCTGGATACCAGTACTGTGGAGCATGTAGTGCTTATGCGTATCGACAGATAAGTCCTGTTGTTGTGTGAGTTAAAAACTTATATAATTAATTTAAAATATAACATTATCTAACCTTATTCTAATTTAAATTAATACCAGTAATTCTAGTAGTTTAGTTTACTTTTCAACTAAATAGACACAAATGCATTTCAGGAAAAGAGTGTTCATTCTCGGGCCATCTCACAATGTCAGACTTGCTGGGTGTGCCCTCTCTACTGCAGCAAAATATATTACACCGTTTTATGATCTCACTATTGACACACAAGGTCTGTTTCATATTTATAATTATTTGACTTGATTTAGTTTTAGCCACCAATAATGTATAACTAATAATCAGTATGGTTTATTAACTAGTTCAGCATTGGTTAGATGGTTTAATAATTACACAAACTTTTTACTTAATAAATAAAATGTCTCAAAAAGTTTTGGGCATAGAAATTGCATTACACAGTTAAAATTTTATTTTATTCACCAGATTGCTATCTTTAAGGTCTCCAGATATGTTTATGGTATTTTCTAAACAATATTTAATAACAATCGCACCATTAAGTTTTTTCTCCTCCCAATTTCTTTCTTTCGGTCCTTGGTGCCTTTTTTTTTTTGTTTTAAAGTATGTCTACCGTTAATTGGTAGTACACTTTATTATTTCCTGTGAAAATTCACTTTATGTAACGTCACAATTTTAATATTTTCGGACAAGGACAAAATTAAGAGTTTGCAGCTTTTATACTGATATTAGTTAAAACTGAACTGAGAAACATTGTTAAAGTTTTCTTGTAACCTGAATAAATAAAAAAAAAAAAAATTCAATGGAATCAACTTAAGAAACAAAAGAAGTAGGTGATGACATTTCTATGACTGCGACTGTACATATCTGTGAATTGCATGTTATACAAATTTCTATTCCCAAAACTCATTTTCTTGAATGATTTAATCAATTTTTATTCATCAAAGTTTTAATTTTAGAATAATCATTTTACATAATCAAATTTGAAATATGTTTAACTTTTTATTTTTTAATATATGACTTTATATATATATATAAACAGCTTGTATTTTCGTATTTAAATTTCAGTTTACTCTGAGCTTGAAGCTACGGGCCAATTTGAAAGGATGGATATGGACGTTGATGAAGAAGAACATAGCATTGAAATGCATCTTCCTTATATAGCCAAAGTCATGGCGGAGTGAGTCCTCTTATAATGAAAATAGTAATATTAAAGTTATTATTATTTTATTTTTGTTTTAATTTTTAGAATGTGTGCTTAAGAAAAAGTAACTTATTTTTATTTTACTTTATGTGATAAGTCTGAACATAGTTCAAGTATCAAAATCACATTTGATCAATACAGAAGCCTCACTAACAATCAGGAAAGTTAAGCAGTCCCTGAGGGAAAAGTCCTTTAATGAGTAGAGGAAATGCAAGTGACAGGGAATTGGTTTATCCCATTTTGAATCAAAACCTTGGGCCAATAAATTTATTAATGTTAAGGAAGTCCTTACAGGCTCAGAATGGACAAACACTATGAAATCGTGGGCGAGTTGGCCGAATGGGCTAACGCGTGTGCACAGTACCTGATCAAGACATATTGATAAAAAATAGTCACCAGTTCACGTCCCAGTGCCGGGAGGGTCTTTTAAATCTCTGCCCTCACCCCCTTGCCTGGGAAAACCCCGTATAGCCTTAAAGGCAAGGAAGGGGAGGACCCAAAAAAACAAAACACTACGAAATTGAACGACAACTACACTGCTGTCCGTGGAGTACCAGGGACTGTTTGCCAGACCAAAAGAAATATTAGACCCTCTCTGTTAAATGTTAAATATTAGGTTGTAATTAGACAATTACAATTAGTATAAGTGACAGTAGAAATTTTTCATGTCCTCAGAAACAGAAATCTTTCATATTTGATCTTCTCACAGCACGTCGTTACTTGTGTTCTTTCAATACATATATGTACTGTATCTGTTATTTATTACCATAGCTATGATGCAAAGTTTAAAGGGATCTTGAAACTTTTTGAAAAAGATTTAAACCTGCTTCATTTTTTTTTCCCCAAGCATATGACACTTTCAACATTCAACCATCTCTTGGGATGTTGTCAGAACAATCTTATTTTAGAGGGTTATATTTTTGATCACTTATTAAAATATTTGGTGTATTCATGCGACCAGTGCTACGTTGAACCTCTTAAGTAAATTGAGAAACTAATTTAAAATTTGTGTGCTGAATATGACTGCTACCGCACTCAACATCAATGGACAAATATACTTATTTATTTTTACTTTTTCTTTTTTTACTGATCAGCCCAATCATGCTGCTCTTCAATTAAAAAAAAAAATTAATTCAAAATTATTTAATTAATTCAATTAATCAAATCTCAATAAGGTTATTGAATAAGATAAAAACTTTTAGTGAATATATGTTTGTCTTTGTTGTTACAGCTACAGGGATAGCTTTACAATAGTTCCTGTCCTCGTTGGTTCGCTGAGCTGGGAGAGAGAGGCCGCTTATGGACGACTGTTTTCACGTTATCTTGCCGATCCACACAACCTCTTCGTTATCTCGTCGGACTTCTGCCATTGGGGGCATCGTTTTAGATATACATTCTATGATCCTGCTTACGGCGAGATCCACCAGTCTATAGCCAGGCTGGACAAAATGGTAAGTTAAGAATATATTTGAAATGAAATAGGCCACGGTTTACTAACCTATAGCTTGCAGAAACCACTCACTATATGAAACAAAAGTGTGCCCGCCTATCTCTAACGTAACCTTCATCGGCTATCACTCTGGCTACAGTTTTACTGTTGTCTGCTGCGTATAGACAAGTTTTCAATGTAATATTATAATGAATATATTATAATTAATTTTAAGTATGAGTAATTACTTTGAAAATAGTTATTTATTTATATTATAGCATTTTGCATTTTTTTTTTTTTTTTCAATCATCACTATCGTTTTACGTGACAAACTTCAGACTCAAATGTTTTAAATTTTGTTTCCTTAAATATATTTATATTAAAAAAATTAACATGATAATTAAAAAGTATATGTCAATTATTTGAAAATAATAATTCATTTATCGATATAATATTATCATTATTGTTTTGTTTAATCCCTCTTTGGTAGAACAAAAGAAAGGAATGACATTGTTAATAGCACTGCTTTCAACTTATTTTATACCTAGTTATAACCTATATCACTTCTAGGTTCGAAATTTTTTGATCAAATATAAGTAAACTATATAAATTTACACTTGATGTTATGCCTTTTCTGTAGAAATATTTTTCATTTATTTAAAAAATATAGGTTCTGTTACTTTATGTTTATTTTTATTGGTGCCGTGAATATAATATAATTTATTGATGAAGTTTTAAATGTAATTATAATCCGAGTGAAGTGTCTTGTCTTGTATACTCAATAAAGGATGGATATATTGATTTATTTGGCAGTCTTTTTTTTTTTTTTTCGTTAAGATTTGTCAAAGCAAATTCCATTTTGAAAAGACTATTTTTTAAATTACTATTTACTATTTTTTAATTACAAGTATAATTTTTATATTTACAGTGTTAATAATATTTTATTAATATATATAATATTTTTCAGGGAATGGATTTGGTCGAGACATTGAATCCATCAGCATTTACAGATTATTTAAAAAAATTGGGTAACACGATTTGCGGTAGACACCCAATCGGTGTTCTTCTTCAGGTAATTTTTATTATAGCTTTTCAAAATATTTCTGTGTTCCTTCTTCCTCCTTCGGCATTATGGCCCATGATGAACCTCAGCCTCAACAATTTTCTTCCACTCAGACCGATCCTCGGCCACTTCTATCCAATGTTTCATACCCACTGATCTCAAGTCTTATTCTACATTGTAGTCTAGACCTGTCTCTTCCTCTTTATCTACCTGGACATCCTTCCATTATCTGCTTTGGGAGTCCTTCGATTCATCCAATATATGTGGCTTGGTCATCTTATTTTCCTCTTTTTAATGCAAGAAATTATATTAGGTTCCCCATATAGATGCTTAAGTTCTGTGTTTGTTTTTGTGGTAGAGCCATATATTCTCCTCTGAACCTTTTTCTCCCATGTACTCGGCAAACTCTCTTGCTACTTGGTTAGGGTTCATGCCTCACTCACATCAATGACAACAGGACCAAGTACCGTTTTATATACCATTATTCTGAGGTTTCATGGTATCTCTTTATTTTTATTCTCTTTATACATCTATTTCCGTTCCCGATTTCTTCTTCCATTTCATTATCGTAGGTTAAAATTGTATTGAGATACATTTTTCCACACTTTCAAAACTAAATCCTTCTCACAATTGACATCCACTTTGTGACAAATGAATTGTCATTTAAGAATATTCAAGTCTAATCATGAAAAATAATCTTTTGAATTGGTTTGAATTGAAGCTGTATCACAAATTCAATTGCTTTTTTTTTTTTTTTTTTTTTAAATGAGATATGTCCGTCTTTGATATGATGCCACTCAGTTGGCAAAAAAGGAGTTTCATTTGCCTATTCCCATATTATTACAGTAAGGCTCAAAATCGGTTTTGTACCAAATATAAGCTCCAAATACCATGAATGGGGTACCGTTGGATTCAGAATTTCATGGAGTTTAGCGAATCGTATTTTCCACTTTTAAAGTAAACAAAGTCGATACAAACATTTTGCTAGGCTACTGGAACGGACGGTGGTAGGTCTGTAGATCGATGCGGGACAAATTGGACCTTGAAGATTTTAAGCCCAAAAACGTGCTATTTTCGAGATAACGCAAGGCATAGGGTTTGCATCCACACAACCTGATGTTAATTGTAGTACTGTCATTGGATACATATCTCATTTCGTCTACTTGAGGTCTCTATGATCGAGACAGAAGTTTATATTATTTATCGATGGTGTTTTTGATTGGCAAGCCATATCATCGTTAATTTTTCACCAAATCTCAAGATTGAGCCACCAATTTCGAAGATTTCCTTCTCCTTCAGGCAGGCAAAGTAGTCCAATCACCCTGAAAATTCAGGTAAACAAGTTATGGAAGAAAACAAATTTTATTTGCGAATAACTAAAAATTTACAAACTTTTCTCTTGGTTGTGGCCATGATTATATGAAAGATTACTTAATTCCCTACAAAAGGAAGAAAAAAAATCATCGAAACCGGACAATTTTTAGCAGAGCTACAGCTTACTGAAATTTGTAAACATGTTGGTTCCAAACAAAATTGAAGATTTAAATTAATTTTTGTTTCCTTTGTCGATTATATTTATCGATATAGTAACATTTGATTTCTTTATCTTTTGCTCCGTTGCATTATTTTCTTTTCTTATTAATTTGTCATTAGATAACAATATGCTGTGTGAATTTTTCGCACGGGCCTACTAGTTTTTATTAAAGTTACTCATACCTCTTCTAAGTACGTATAGAAGTACAAGAATTAAAATGGACATTTCATGTGAAGCAACCTCAATACAAGTTGTATACGTTGAGATTAGTTTGTAGGTTTTATTTCATATAATTTATTGCATATTATTGCACAACCGAAATAACAATAAGCAGTATATTATTAGCTTGTATTTTTATTATTTTAAGCCAGATTGATACCCATAAATTTGTAACACTTTTATTATTCTTAGAGAACTGTAGTCCCAGAATAATGATTTTTTTTTTCAATTCATTTAATTTTATAATTTAATTGTTTATGATCTTTACTAAAAGTAATTTTTTTTTTTTATTCTATATTTTTCGCAGGCAGCAAATCACCTGATGAAGGCAGGAGAGCACAAGATCTCGTTGAAGTTTCTCAAGTATGCCCAGTCGAGCCAGTGTCGCAACATGAACGACTCCAGTGTCAGCTATGCCTCAGCTTCATTAATCTTCGAGTGATAAAATGGGTTTCATTACGGAGCGTGTCGCCAAAAAAAAAAAAAAAAATAATAATCTTAACATTAAAAATATACCGACTGGTGACAAGCAATTATGAAAAACCCAAAGTGCTCTTCAACAAAATGGCCACGACTTGAATTAGGTCTCGTAGCCGCTAAGTGCTCTTTTTCATATATATATATGTTAAGCGACAACCCGAAAGTTTTATTATGTATCTTTATTCTTAATCTTTTAGCAGCTTTCTCTTTTACAAATAATTTTAATTAGTGTTTTGTTTTTTAAATATATATATTTATTTTATTTTATTTTCTGTAGCGAGATTGAATTAGTTAATGACATTGTATTAAGATGAAGTTATATTGTGATTAGATAACCATTGATGTATTTTATTTTATTTTATGTAATATGGTTAGAACAAATTTTAAAATTGACTGGATATTGTTTATATATTTTTATACTTTTCAATACGAACAGTGTCATCTAAAGGTTGTAATAATTGACTAAGAAGGTGCCTTTACTGGCCAACTAGCAACATAATTACTTAATTTGGTAACGAGGAATTTGGATCATCGTACTGGCAAAAGTAGGAACGCTACTTTGAGCTATGGCGTCATTTGTTATTGAATCTTAAATACAAAGTTACAGCAGGTGCATTATGTCTTTTGATTCTGTGGAATTGTTGGTCGAAATGTTATATTATCAAATATAAAACGTAAATTAAATACTGATACAAGCCTCATTATCAGGGCATTTAACAGTTTGTATAGTTTTTATACTTAACATTTATTTATTAAAACAATGAAATGCCATATTTGAAATATTTTTAAACTACTATCATCATGGAAGTGATGTTTTTATAATGCGAAAGATAGTTGGCCCTGGGTGTAAACCAATATATCTGTCTAGTAATGGTCGAAATGGATATTGCGTTTTTTTATTTAATGTTTTAACACACCTTGTTGATGTTGAAGACTCCAAGCTTAAGGCGTGTTTTTCTAGCAGTGTAATGTAAGTCGATGAACGTATTTAACGTATCAGTCAGGGCAATGGAGAGTCTTTGAAGTGTTTTCCTTGAAACAAAAAAAACCTAATATGGTGGTGCAATAGATTGATAATTTAATCCCCCATCTCTTCTATAATTGTTTTTTATATAGTACCACTTTACTAACTTTTTGATTAGCAATAACGATGTGGGTTCAACTCGATGATTTTGAAACATTGCTAGAAAAATCTGCCTTTAGATAATGTTACAAAGTATGGAGCCATGAGTTTAGCAATAGAAATTGAGGTATAAATTAGTCATGTCCTCCAGTGTTGACGTCACAGTTATCAGTTTTTTATATTTTCGTTAATTACATTTGTTATATTAGAAATCATTTATCCATATAAGGTACTTTTATCTACCTTACTTGAGCAGATAATTTCACACTAAATGAAACCTTAAACTTTAGTTTCATACAAAAACTTGATTTTCCTGTGCACGTAAAGAAAAAAAATTTTTTTTTGTTAACCTTTAGAAAATTGATTTCTTGAACATCTAAATATTGTCAATCTAAGTATTGAAAACTTAAATAATTGATATCTGTGTCAAACTACATGTCTTCACTTTAACAATTATGTGTTTCATACATTACTGTCTGATCCGGGCATTATTTTTTTTTATATCAAGCATACAAATTGTAATTTTATCTTTTATTATTCATGATTTATTATTTGCATTAACTCTTTATTCTCTTGATACAAACCTGGGCAAAAAGTATTTTAATTAAAAAGTGATTAAATTATTAGGAGAAAAAGTTTTTCAAATACGAAATACTAAAAGCATTTTGTATTTTAATTACAAAATATTTATTGGTGGACAATCAGCAAATAATTCAGGGAATCTACTCTGATAATTTATTTTATATATTTAAATAAACTAAATTTTTTGTATTTAAAAAAAAATACCATTACAAACTATCTATTTTATATTTTACTTCTTAAAATGCAAAATACAAAAAAGGTATTTTATTTTGTAGAGTGTAACCCCCAGTTTTTGGCACCATTAAGAGAACTTTAAAATGCGTTTGTCCTATTTTCAATCGCATGGGTAATTGGTTCAACAATTTTGGTTCTGTTAAGTCAGTGATGATCTCTAATATCAAATTATATATGTGATACAGTGTCTTTCATTTATTTATTTTCTTATTACAACGGAAAAATATAAAATATCCATAAGTGCCAATTTTCAGCACCTCTTACTCAATTTTCAAAAGCCAAAATAATTAAATCTGGCAGCCTTCAAAATGAAATAACTAATACAATGATATTGCGCGTTTCTTACCAAATTGTTAGATGCATCCTTCCTCAACGACACCTGTCGGGCTTCTAATATTCAGGAATTTTTTTTTACCCATAAATCTTAATAAATAGAGGGGGATGCTAGAATATGAGAGCGTCTTTCGCCGGACCTAGACCATTTCCAATGCTTAATATTCTTCAATAACTGCAGTGGGTGCCAAAAATTGGAGGTTATGCCCTATTTTAAAATATATCATTTGAAATACTGCCCAGGTCTGTGTTGATGTATCTATTATTTTATAAAATTATAGTAGAATTTGGTGGTTAACAATTTTTATTTCTATGCTAGACATATTTTTAATTTTTTTTTTTTTGTTTCAAAAAGGTTGTATACTTTATTTTTAAGTTTAATGTTACATGTTCATTTTTATGTTTATATATAAAACAAATTGAAAAGTAAACCAATCAACTCACAAGTTTGTTATAGCTGAGTGAGCTTTTGGTTTATTTACAGGGTAGTTCATTTACAGTTCCTCAAGAAAATGGACAAACTTATCTGCTTTAAATTTAACTATTCATTTTATGTTAGTGATAATTTCTTTTAGAATTTTAATTGTTTATCGTATATTAATAAAAATAATGATAATGATTAAGACCAAATATACACTCACCATGTTAAATTTAAGGACATACGTTCTTTTAACTTTTCAGGTCTAAGAAGTTGTAAGCTTCTTATTAGGGCCTGCAGCTTATGTATTATATTAAATGAATTAGACCAATTGTAAATTTTCTACTGTGTTTAAATATTCCATGTTTTCCTTTTATTCTTGTTCCTTAATATCC